ATATGAAGCAGCCCCTGCGGTTAACAGTGATATATGATGTTAGGAAGACGCTGGTTGTGAATGGCTTTGTCTCAAGAGTGCCCATATGTGTTTATAACTGCAGATAGATAGAAATACGCTCCAGAGGGTGCAGCAGACCTAACACAGATTATATCCCTAGGTGCACTCCACTGTGGCTGTATACCCTACAGGATATATCCATGCCTGAGAGGCAAGCTGCAGTAAATTTGCCTTCTCTCGTCGTCTATTTCCACCTTTCTATTATACTCGGTAATCCTTATTTTTTCTGTTTTTATCTGCATCAGATCCCTACTCTGAATAATCACAATAAATCACTCCCTCTCCTCCTTGCTCACTGCCTCACTCCCTCGCTCCCTCGTTCCCTCGCTCTCTGCAGCTCCCTCCCTCCCTGTGTCTGCTCTCTATCTGGGGGAAAGTTCACCCGCTCACTCAGAATCTCATTATAGGCTTCAGACGGAGCTGTAGCCTACTTGTGTGTATATGTAATAATGCCTGCGCAGTGCTTGGACGCCTGCTCAGTGCACTCATCTAGCAGATGTTTTGCATCAGGGAGCATTCAAGTTCAAGATTGTTAGTGTTATTTTTGTATGCTTGAATATGTGGCAACGTTGCTGTACAATGGAGACATTAATCTTGTTTGTTTAGGCTCAGTTGAAGCCTTTGCATGCAACACAATAGGAGCCTATTGACCAACTATGGATTAGACTATATAAAAATTAATGCCAAAAAGATTAGTCAATTGATCATAGTTGATCTACACAAATTTAATGGCCAGCATATTTGATCATCCAGTAATCATTGAAGTCATTTATCAAGAAAAATGCTTAAAAATCTCTGTTTGCAGCTTCTTCAATGTGGAGGTTTGCTGACTTTATTTGTTTGTTTATTTATTTATCCACATTAATTAACATAAGCACTTCCATCATGTAGATGTGCCAGATGAAGCCATGCAGGCTAATTTTTATATGCAGTCCCTGGCAGGTTTGGCTTATATCGTGCTAAATTAATTCGTTTTGGTTTGATTGGACAAAACCAGCTATTTTAAGGCATCAACTTGACCTGCTGGGAAATTGTAATCAGCATTTTTCACAGTTTTCTGATAAATTAATCAACGATTTATTAAAAATAACAGAACTGATTAGGGCTGCACAATATGGTAAAAACATCATATTGTGATTATTTTTTACAGATATTGTGATTGTGATATGATTCACAATGAGTGTGAGGACGATCATGTTTGCATCGCAGATTAAATTTTTACTAGAAAACTATTTAAATCATGATGATATAAAATTTTGTCTGTTGTTGCTTTCTTGAATCTTGAGGACAAGATCTGTAGGCCAGGACATCTCTGCAGCACTACAGTACTTCAGTGTAATGCTGTTATGTCACATTTTAGCTTCATCAAAACATTGCAGCTTCTGAGATTTGCATATTGCGATTTCAATAATATTTTGATGAATTGTGCAGACCTAGAATCAATAATCAAAATAATCATTAGCTGTAAATTAAATACAAACAATGCACGACAGAGCACAGACTGATAATACACCGCAAAGCCGAAATTATGTGAATATAACACCCCTGTCCTCCTACCTTTATTATTATTTTATTATTTATTACTTTATTTTGTTGTTAATGGTTTGGGGCCTGACTCCTTCATTCTTAATAACATCACATCTTAATGGTCCAGCATTCAGTGATATTTTAGACAATAGTGTGCTTCCATCTTTGTGTATATTGTCATCCTGAAGGTTTTCTTTCCCAAACTGATGCCAAAACGAAGTCCATAAAGAAATGGTTTTACAAGTTAAGTGCAGAACCTGAGTCCTGACCTCAACTTCATCTTTTAGGTGAGTTTGAATCGGTCTCGATAGGTTCACAGTTGGTTTGAATGCAGACTGCAGGCCTTATTGCCCAACATCAGTGGCAAATCCCTCGCAGCAAAACTATGTGATGTAAATATCAATCACATACTGGTGTAATGTTGGCCTTGTATATCACACTCCTGTTGTTGCAGTGTTTGAAATAGTTAAATAAGTTACCTTATAAAATCAGAAAGTCCTTCTTTGTGTAATTTTGTCAGTGACCTCCAGCCCACATAAGATGTAGAGGTTTAAAGTTTGAACACAGATTTTAATCACGGCTGAAGGAATCTGTCTTGCATAACCTTTTGTTACTTTTACTTTTTAACTTGCCCTGCGGGTTAAGTTCTGGGAATAGATGAATCAGGGTGTGTGTGTACAATTATGAACTGACTAATTAGTATTGTGTTAGAATATGTGCCAGAAACAGGGTTGTCTTCTGTCCATTTCCACTTGTAAACAGACTGATTTATAAAGCGATACTACTTAATTAATTGATTTCTATTATTATATTTATTTAACAGGGACATGGGAGAACTATGACACCAGGATGGATCAATCCTGAAGCTATAATGTTATCAAGATATTTATTTAGTTTTTAATGTGCATTTTTATAAATTCATTGATTTTGTGGTTTATTCACTTATTTACTCTTAATTGTTTTACTCACATCTGAATAGTTTCTATTTTAAATACTGTATCAAAGCAGGTGGTGTTTAAAGAACCAGTGTGTAGGATTTAGTGACAGCAGTGAATTTGCAGATTATAGCTATTTGAATATAGCTCAACCTTTAAAGTTTATAGGAGAAACCATTACTGGACAATTTATATTTATTGTCTATTTATTTACATTTCTATTTTCACAGCAGTTTGGTACATTTGCGACAAACAGCTGATAAATTAATGGTTGAAGAATGATTTTCAAACTGCTCCACCTGCACTGTACTGTATGGTTGAAAGATAAGAAAATGTGTGTACATGGATTATTGCTTGAAGCTCTGAAGTGAAGTGATTTACTGAGGATTAGTCCTGCTGACATGCTGACTGTCTCTGACAGCAGTGACCTCTGACCTCTGACCTCTGGATGTGTTTACTGTTACAGTGGACGATGAACTGTTAACACCGCTGCCACCACACTCTGAATGGACTCATTTCTCTTCCGTAAGATCATCAACATCTTTCCTACATTGTCTACTCCACTGAATTTCTGGCCTTTAAAAGAGAGTGCATAGTGCCACCTGGTGTCACAATGTTGACACTACATTAAGTCTCATTGGGCTGAGAACAAAGAACCCTATAATGCACACTTCCAGGTTCATTACAAGTCAGGATGTTGCTGTGTAAGGTGTTTTCTGTGCTGGGCTGTTGTCAGCATTTTGTCACAAGTTTCCATCTGTTGTTTTGGCTGAATAAATGTTTTTTTTTTTGGTTTTGTACTGCTTGTAAAGACAAAAAACATCAATTTAAACTAACTGAACCTGAGACTTTGTGAAACGCAGTTTTAAGTCATTTTTTCAAACAAAAATACCAAACGTTTGCTGATTTAAGCCTCTCAGAGTGAAGATCTGCTGCTTTTCTGTTTTATATGAAAACTGAATATGTTTGAGGTTTGAACTGTTTCGATCGAGAGATAGATCCTTCCATTTGAGAAGCATTTTTTAAATCAGTTATCAAAATAATTATTGATTAATTTTCTGTTGATAGGTGATAGATAACTAATCCTTTCAGCTCCAGATACAATTAATCAATAATCAGAAAAATAGTAAGCACATTAATCAGTTACGGCTGACATTTACAGTATTGTTACTGTTTTGTGTGTTGCTGACTTAAATAATAATAATTATTATTATTATTGTTATTATTATTATTATTATTATTATTATTATAATGATAATGGCACCAAATTTGAACATATTTGTCTTATTCCCAAGTGTAATAGCAACTTATTGAAATCCTTGGTTGGCAAAATATTTACATTGTCACAGACAGGATATCCTCTGTGTGTGTGTGTGTGTGTGTGTGTGTGTGTGTGTGTGTGTATGTGTATTGTAGTTGAAGTTGTTGATGACTTTTGCCACTAGTAGACTGTGTGTGGGGCCCGTGCCTGGGTCGTGGCCGTGTAAAACTGTGGGTTACGGTGGTTTTCGAGATGATGTTTATGTTCTGAGCTCCCTGTAGTCAGCACGCCCTCCGCATCCCCGACCCGCCTCTCCTATTGGCTGCTGGGCCTCTCGTCTCCTTCTCTCATTGGTTCAGTTCTCGGATGCATTCACTGCCCATGTGTGCTGCATGTGAACAGCTGAATGCTTGTTTTTCTTCTTACATCTGCTCTCCTTGCTCACTCCTCTCGTCATTACGGTACTATTTAACGGTAACAGCAGTGTTTTCTTAGAAAGTGTTTGGATGTGCTGCAGCTTATGGTCTGGATATATTTGTGGAAACATTTGTTAAGAGCATTCAAGGAATTGCTGTATTTACACCACAGAAAGTTCAGCAAAAAATGGAACAACAAAAACAAAATGTGCAATAAAATGGTAACAAAAACAAGTTCCCACCACACAACACGTATCATTCTGTGAATAATGGTCCATTTGTTTATATCATTGACAGAAGAAAGGTATCCTTCATTTGTGAATTGAGAGAGATTGTGTTTCTCTTTTGGATTTAACTATATTTGCATAGACTGGTTGGATACTTTCCAATATATTTTTAATCTCTGGATAAGCTAGTGAGTAGACATTCAGTCATTTTGTCAAACATTGTATTTCTATCTATCTTTTGAATAAATTAATCAGAATCGGAACTACTTTATTGATCCCAGGGTTAAATTAGTTAATTATTATAATTGGTCAGCCTTCCCAGTCTTAAAGTATAAGTTCCTTTTGTGTGCACATCGGAAAACAACTCTGTGATAAATCCCTGGCAGAACATTGTGAAATAACAAGACTATAATGCTGGTCAAGCAAAGTTACATCCTGTACCTGTATCCTTGTTTTGCTCCCTCTCGCTCTCTGTTGCGCTCGGTCTCCAGTCGTTACGGTAATAAGAAACTGCTGTTTCTCAGCTGATATGTGACATCCTCCTCCTCCTCCTCCTCCTCCCCCCTGCAGCTTGCAGAATCAGACTGCCAGGGTTAGAGCCCACCGCCTCAGTGTCTCACTAGAAGGGTAACACCAATGATCCAATATTCAGGATGTTAGACAACGAAGAGTTCATGCTGGAGACTTCCCCGCGGGAGCTCACACAGAACCCGCTCAGGAAGATCTGGATGCCGTGTAAAAACGGGCACATAGCTCAGAGACGGGGTAAGATGCAGCTGACCGGCAAGTGCCGCAAAGGATGTGACTGGGAGGTGATGTGGGGCATCTGTTAATACTCTTTTTTTTTTATTATTATTTTTTTTCCCCCATCATATTTTGTGTTCTATATTTTTTCCTGAGCCTTTATTTGGTCATATAGATATTGCCTTTTACGCGCGGTTGTTTGAGGTGTTGCGCACTAATAAAGTGCAGAATATCGTCGCCTTTTTTTTTTTTTGGTGCTTCGCAATGTTGCATCATGCTCAGCTTATATGATTCATTTTTTCCCCCAAATGCCACATGCAGGGAGGTACATTTGAATCGCGTTTGAGGGAATAATTGCAAGCTCGCTGAAATGAATTTGGCCATATGACACTCACATGACTCAAATGCATCAATTTACCAAGGGCCATATCAAACCGCCAACATTGTCTTGTGGTTTTAGCCCTTTCCTCTGGATGTGACGGTGAGCAGCTGTTTTTTTTTCTTTCTGCCAGTGTCTCTCAGTCTGGTTTACTCTCTTTGCTGCTCGGCTTATTTCTGCTGAGTCAAGCTCTGCTGGTTTCCTTTTAAAACAGGTTACAGCTAGTCCAGCCCTGCATCTGGCACAAAACACTTCACCTTCTTCAACTTTATGTCTAACAATTTTGTGTCTAGTGTGCAGTGCTCACTGTAACATCATCCAAAATGCCTTGTCCCATATTGTCTGTGCCGTTAGGGAGTGTCCCAGTGAACATGAGGATGCTGTCCTCTGAAGAAGTGCTCAGGGTTGTGACTGTTAATGTTTTTCTTTTTCTACAGGGAGGAATTCGGCACTTCGAGCTAATACAACTAGTGTATTAAAAATTATGGTTTTACATTACAAAACCTGCTGTCTACATGTTAATCTCGTCCTTATATTCAGCAGTTTGTTCATTTGTCATTCCTTATCTTTTTTCTCTTCAAGAGCTGCTCCAGAGCTCTGATAGGACATTAATACAAAATGCTGATAAGACATCTAAAGAAGGATGTTGCTTGTTTTTTTGGGGGGGGGTTTCAGTGAAATGACAGTTTCAGTTGTTGTAGTAATGGTATCTCTGCTCTCTGGAGGGGATTTTCCGTAGTAATGTGTGTCACTGTCACACAGAGTGATCTGAAAGTGTGTTCTCGCTGTCTAGTGTAATTAGGAGCAACCTTCAAGACTAATTAAACTCTTGAATATTGACAAGCTGTGCTCAGCAAATTAAATGTGAGTGTGAGTTAAATCCATTAAAAATTCTGTTTTTCTCTCTCTCTCTCTGACAGTATGTATGACAAACTGCCCGACCCTCATTGTGACTGTAGGACTTCCAGCCAGAGGGAAGACTTACATTTCAAAGAAGCTCACACGCTACTTAAACTGGATAGGTGTGCCAACCAAAGGTACAACCCCACCACACACACACACACACACACACTTGTATATGTTCATATTACCTCACAGTCGAACCCGGCTAAACTCCCATCCTCTAAAATATCTGTAACAGAGTTCAATGTTGGCCAGTACCGGAGGGAGTGTCTGAAGATCTACAAGTCCTTCGAGTTCTTCCGTCCAGATAATGAGGAGGGTCTAAAAATCAGACGGTAAGTCTACACTGACTTTACCAGCTGTCAGTGTGTGTCATGCAGTGTTGGCCAACCAATGTGCAATAATGAGACTGTGCAGGTACAGTCCAGCTAAAGACTCCACCCACTGATAATAACTCCTTCAAGTGGAAAGGAGGAACTGAACCACTTATTTGGAATTAAAAACATTAGTGAACATTAATCTTATTTCCCAATTTGTACATTTGCAAACCAGATTTTTGTTAGAGATCAGAGATTCTTTGTGGTTTAACTTACTGAGTTATTGTACTAATTGTACAAATTTGTGTACATTCATTATTCATTATTATATATATTTTTAGTGTGCGTCTGCCAAAATAAAAATGCAGCAGTCAGTGTAGCTGGTTGATCAGCTAACACTGCGTCACAAATCTTTTCAGTGCACTGACTTTGTGTCTGCTGTCTTTTCACAGTCAGTGTGCAATGACTGCACTTAATGATGTTCGGCAGTACCTGAGTGTCGAAGGAGGACAGGTGGCGGTGAGTCCTTGAGGCTGTGACGTTTCCATACCAAATTATCATAATATCAATACATATATTATATATGTGTGTGTGTGTGTGTGTATATGTGTATATTTGTATATTTATTTTTTTCCCCCTGCTATTTCAGGTCTTTGATGCCACAAATACAACAAGGGAAAGAAGAGGCACCATCGTCAAGTTTGCTGAGCAGAATGGGTTCAAGGTTTGTTAACCAAGGCGGGATTGTGTCAAATTCAATCAAGTCACCTTGACTTGGTGAACTCTGAGTTTACTGTATTGTCTTTTCAACACAGGTATTTTTTGTGGAGTCTGTGTGTGAGGATCCAGATGTCGTTGCACAAAATATAGTGGTAAGCTTTATCTCTTTTTATTAGTATAAATAATTGAAAATACAATATGCAAACTGTACTGTGTTAATTTTGAAGAACTGGTTGACATAAGTGATACAGACAAACTAACTCCTCCTCACATATGACAGCATGACATAGAGTTTCAAAAGATGTGAGCGTTTGGACATTTACTCCAAATCAAAACAGTTTACCTTTAAAATCCGGCAATATGAATCTTTGTCTGAACCACTGTGTAGAATCAAGAAGACTTATAAGCTCTGGTTCTGATTTTAACACGCAGTGTGAAAACGGCCTAAAAGTGTCAGACAGCTTACTTCCTCTTTACTCTGTTCTTCTCTTCCTGTGTTTCTGTCTTTATAGCAAGTGAAGTTGGGCAGCCCAGACTACATCCACTGCAACACAGAGGAGGCCATTGAGGACTTCATGGAGAGGATCAAGTGTTACGAGTCCTCCTACCAGCCTCTGGATGAGGTTCTGGACAGGTGAGGACACACAAAATGACTTCAATCAGATTAAACTACCTCTTCAAGGTAGCAGACTGTTGACTTGACTCTCTCGCTCCAGGGATCTGTCCTACATAAAGATCATGGACGTGGGCCGCCGCTACCTGGTGAACCGCGTCCTCGACCACATCCAAAGTCGGATCGTCTACTACCTGATGAACATCCACATCACACCACGCTCCATCTACCTGTGTCGCCACGGTGAGAGCGACCTCAACATCAAGGGACGGATCGGAGGAGACTCTGGCTTGTCTGCCAGAGGAAAAGAGGTGTGTGCGTTTGTATGAGAGCATGAGTGAGTTGTGTGAGTTTAAGTGCAGTCTTTTTGACAGTATGGTTTTGAAGAGAAATACATTTTCTCATAGTATATTGCTACAATCTCTTACCTTCCAGTTTGCCAAAACTCTGGGGAAATTCATCCAGGACCAGAACATCAAAGATCTAAAAGTGTGGACCAGCCAGATGAAGAGAACGATCCAGACAGCCGAGTGCCTGGGGGTGCCGTACGAACAGTGGAAGTCTCTCAACGAAATAGATGCTGTATGTTGTTGTTTTTTTTTTTATATTCAGCAAAACAAATACCATGTTAAGTATTTGTGTTCTCACAAAGCTTCTCCCCTCTGTACCAAAGGGCGTGTGTGAGGAAATGAGGTATGAGGAGATCCAAGAGCATTACCCTATGGAGTTTGCACTGAGAGACCAAGACAAGTATCGCTACCGCTACCCTAAGGGAGAGGTGAGATTCTTCGAAATGTCTCATTATTATTATTGTTATTATTATTTTAAGAGGTGAATGGATTTGTTTGTGTCCTGAAAAGTGTGTGTTTGACGGGTCTCTGTTTCTCTGTCAGTCTTATGAAGACCTGGTGCAGCGACTGGAGCCCGTGATAATGGAGCTGGAGAGACAGGAGAACATTCTGGTTGTTTGTCACCAGGCCGTCATGCGTTGTCTTCTTGCATATTTCCTGGACAAGACTGCAGGTATGAAGGACCTACAGTACGCAATATGGACAAAAAAAGTGTATGGACATTTGTGATAGTTTGCTGATTTATGATACACACCAGGCTTTTTTTTTAGTATTGTGCTCCATTTGCAGCCTTGAATGAAAACATGCTTTGCACCTTGAAACTTAGATGTTTGATAAATTTCTATGTCTGCCTCCACAGATGAGTTGCCTTATCTTAAGTGTCCTTTACACACAGTGTTGAAGTTGACCCCCATGGCTTATGGTGAGTACGGTCATTCCAAAGGCCTTTTGACATATTTTTGACTATTATGATTCTTTGACATGAAGTCACCCGAAATTGCCATCCCTGATTTAGTATCATTTTGTCTGAAACATAGGATGCTAGCATTTTGTTAAATAAAATCATCCAATGTAAACTTGGAGACAAATATTACAACCAAAGGTAACTTCCACTTGGTCAAACTATTAATAGTGATTGTTTTGTTTGTTCTCACTCAGGATGTAAAGTGGAGTCTGTCTATTTAGGCGTGGACTCTGTGAACACACACAGAGACAGACCAGAGGTACGTATCCCAGGCAGCACTTAGAAATGTCTCTCAGCAGAAGACGTAGCTAACTTGAATCCACTTCAGGGGTGATTCACCTCACCGCGTTTTTCCATCCAACTCATCTATGACCAGGGACTCAGTCGGGAGGATGTCTTGCTGTAAACACTCTTAATTGTAAAAGCTGTGTGTGATTTTCTTCAATGATTTCTGGAGAGTCTTCCATCATATTTAGGCTGCGTCTTCTCCCCTGAAGCAGGCCTAGCAGTCAGTAATGCTCATCCGCCCCTCTCTTCTTATCGCACAGAGAATGTAAATCTTTCACACGTGGCAGAGGAAGCTGCGCTCAGTCTCCGTCCACCAGTGACAGCAACCAAGACAACTGTGACATCACTTAGCATTGACACCAGATCCTACCTCCATCCTGTCATTTTTAACATCTCATTTCTCTCTCTCTCTCTATCAGTGGGAGCAGAATCATGCTGGGTTATTTTTTCTCTCAGGTCCTTTTCTACGGTGGCCTTGAGGGCTCACTGCACTGCAACTTGAGAAAACACGTGGAAATGAAGGAAATATCTTCATCAAATTGACAAAACAAACGCAGAAGCACGCTGCAAATTCAGAAAACAACCAAATACAGATTTGCTGAAAGTTGTACAGAAAACAGAAGTGATCCAGAAAACTATTTAATTCACTTAATAAATGAATTTACATTTTGATTGTATGATTCAGAATGTAAATTGGTGAGCTAATAGTCAGCAGAAGGTTAACACTCAAATTAAGAAAATAAATGTCTGAAATAATATCTGAATCGTGCAATCAGAAAATTAAAATAAACACACCACTGACAACAAATATGTGTCCCAGGTGTGTCCAGACATGTTCGTCACTTTCTAGTGCCCCCTGGAAACTTCTGTTTTTAACGTTGTGTTCTGAACAACTTTTGTTTGTACAGCAGCATTACTGTATTGGATATGTTTTCTTACTTTTTTTTAAACCTAAATACTGCACACGCATTGTCAAATTGGTGAAGACGTTTTGCTTTTGTTTTAAACGTTTTGCATATGTTTTTTGTTGTTGCGGTAAGTTGCGGTGCGTTGACCTTTCAGGGCCACCGTATTTTCTTCAGTTTTTACATCTTTTTATTCACTAAGTAACTGGAATCCAGTTTCAGGACATATCACTCAGCTGTGTGTATGTGTGTACTTGTACGTATATTTGTGAGGACATTTGTCGGGACAAGGCTGTTTGAGGGTTCAGACTTGGTTTTAGAGTTAAGATTAGAATTAGTCTTTAAATACCATGTAGAATTTAACATTGGGCATTTTGTTTTTATAATGAATGCTACCCTGATAGTGTTTTGTATTAACATTAAGCTATTTACATGTATATTATATATAAGCTTGCTGTTTTTTTACACTTATGTATACAAGTGACTAATACATTTAACCTCAACATACATTTTTGCTGCATATGAATTGACGAACAATATTATTTGAATTCCAGTAATATTATTTTTTAAATAAACTTTGTCTCTGTTGTTTACTGTTTAAATGTGAAGGGTTAATCTACAGTGCCCACCAACAACCTTTAATCACTAGACCTCCAGTCAAATCAAGATGATGTTAACTATAAAATCATCACTAATAGTGTTAACCGGTTGTTAAACACTTTATTATTAAATTATTTCATTGACTGTAATTTTTTTTCTTCATATTGTTTGTGTTTGTCAAGGTTTCTTATTGTCAATATAAAAATCTGAATTTAAAAACACCTCATTCTCTTTCTCCTGTTACTTTTTTCCTGGTAAAAACCATTTGTGATCAGTTTTGTCAAAGCTGCTCCACATTTAATAACTAATGTGTCCATAAGTACAGTCTCCATATGTTACATATATACACATTGATTTGTCTCAGTAAAAGTAATGTATGCAAAGTTATCTAGAGTAAACTCTTCTCTTTGCTTGAAATTCATAATTTAGATACTCTGAACCATGAGCATGTTTTAATGTCTTCAGAAATCTACCTTTTAATAGATTATCATAAAATTGTTATTTATGAACCACTGTAACATCACCCAGAAGATCCATTGATATACTTTATGAATACCAGATGAAAACATGAATTCTGCCTTTATTAGACTAAATGTGTCCGAGTCATTTTACTGTTAATCGACATATGACGATGAAGGGATTATTTAATGAACAAAAGTCACTTTGTAAATGTCAGATAAGTAACGTAGGATTATAACTCAGTCCTTTCCTCTCACCCCTGTCTCAGAATGTGAATGTGAAGCGCACCACAGACGACGCTCTGCAGACAGTCCCAGCTCACTTCTAATATCCTGCACTTCCTGTTCCAGCTGAGACCTCGTCCGACTTTCTGTTTGGACCCCTGAACAGCATTATGGGAACAGTGCTGTTCAACTGCCCATCATGGCAGCTTCTTCACTGATACAGAGAATTGGGTATTTTCCAGACTCGAACTGTAAAGCACTTTCACTAAATGTAATCCATTTTTATACATCTGTTCTGTTGTGAACTATACTGTACTGCTACTGTAGCTCAACTCCCAGACAGGGAAACTAAAGGAAAATGCCAATATTTTTTATATGTGAGTCTACTGTTATTGTTTGCAATGATAATAGTTCCTTAACTTTCAGCATCCTTTTCCATGATTACATTTAATATCTACTGTACTGTATATTACAGTATGTACTGTGTATACTGCCATATACTGCCAGTGTTTCTGAAGATGTTTCTTTTGTATGAAAAATAAGTATCATAACTCAAAGACCTGTAACTACTTCAGTTAATCAAAGTCCTTAATCCCTGACTGTTAAACAGAAACTGTTTTTCTTTGCTATTTGGTGAATTATATTTTAAAAAGGCAGACATTGAGCTCAGTGTATCTACTCTGAGTAAACAAAGATTAAGATTAAACATTCCAGGGTGTGAAAATCAAGTTCTTACACCACAAAAAAATGGAAATAGCATTATAAATGCAAGTGACACTTTTTCTCTAAGATGTAGCAATCTTATTTTCTTCTTCCAAAATCTTAAGATGAGCCTCTGTAATCATGGTAGAACCACAGGGGGATTTGGGATGGACTTTGTGGGCTTTAATGTTTTTTTTTTTTGGACATACAATGAGTCTAAAAAAAAAAAGCCGTCACTTCAGAAGGCTGTGTTTGTTTGACAAATGATCAAATGAATGCCTGTTTGTGTGAGTGTAAAGGTACTGTGTAAACTGTACATGCATGTTCGTTTGATGTAAGTTTCGTGTGTAAATCAACATGTATTATACATGTGTCTTTTTTTGGAGAACTCTGTACAATTTCTGTAATATTATACATTTATAATATTGTCTATTACTGTTCTGAAAATATAATTCCAAATGCCTTGTTTGTCTCCAGCTGTCAATCTCAATAAAGTGTCGATGTTTGGGGTAAAGACAGAGCTGTGCTGTTTGTGCTTCGTAACAACAGATCAAAAATAAAAATCACTAAAATACAAAGGATAATGTTTTTATTTATATTCACTGCCAGCAAGTATATTTGTTTTAATTATTTCCATTTACAATAGGGTTGACTCTGTTTACTTGTGATGTGAAATGTGCGCCAATTGATTGCCTTCATGGTTTAAGGTCTGTCATGACAAAACATCAAAATGAAATCCATGTGCACATAATATATATATATTAAAAAAAACATTTAAATTATTTCAAAAAAATCCATATTACCCTGTGCTCACGAATATTGATTACAAGTATTTTTTATTGTTAAGGACCTGCCCTGACTTCTTCTGATGTTCTAAAGGCAGAAATTAATGTCAGTGTGAATATTCAATATGTACAAACATCAATATTTTTGAGCAAAGGGGCATTTTAAGGTTAAAGGGCAAAACCCCACTGGCCCGTACATCTTATGTGTACGTCTTACATTTCTCAACTTCTCTTGGCTGATCGTATTTAGTCTCCTCTCTGCCCTGTGATGTGAACGCTCCACAGTGACGGCCAAGATTGCAAAAGGAATGTATTCCCGGGTTTTCTCTCTCTCTCTCTCTCTCTTAGAACTGCAAGAATAAAACAAAAACAATGTCTAAGCTACAGTAAATCTAAAAGACAAAGAAGAATTATATTACTTTTTTATATAATACAACTTTCATCACCTTTAATATCATCAACACAGTCTAACATAAAATAACCACATAAAACATGACTGAATCAATGAAACGTCCTACCATGCAAAACTCATAGACACTCATGTACAAATAATGTAAAAACTAAAAAGGACTTTTGCACATTATGCTGCATCAATGCACTGAGACACATAAAAATGTAGAAAAACAACAACTTACATTTTTGAGGAACTCCTCAGCAACAATACGAGCCCTGGCGTTGACAGACAGCTTCATTTCACTGATCTCCTTGTCAATTTCCTCCATGAAATGAATGACAAAGTCCACCAGTTTGTGTTTGTACATCTGCTCTGTGTGGAAGTTGGTGATCAGAAAACTGATGTCGTAGCCCTGTGAAAGGAGGATGGAAACCTGTCAGTTATTTGTGTAAACATTTGTGGCTTAAAGATAGAGATAACTGAAAAACCCCTAACTGGAACAGGAACAGTTCTAATGATTCATTACATTCATTACAAAAACTTGTCCCTGACTACAGTAACTAGACTCAGTTATAATGTTCATATAACTAAATCATTAAAATTTTTGTTCCATATTAGCTTTTACAGAACAACTCATTGCTTATCAGGAGTTTGGGGCATTTTTCTTTAACTGAATAAGTTTGTGAGGGAACCTACCTCCACTGGTTTCCTCCTCAGGATGAAGAAGTTCTCTGCCCTCATCATCATGAAACGCATGAACTTATGGCACAGAATCTTCTCAATCTCATCAGCCTGCAGCAGCACATTATTTAAAAGGAAAAGGTCAAGATTACAGATACAGTTCTGATCTTTACAGAAACGATATTACTTGCTAATTGCTAAGCAACCATCTCTTTTGTATCAGGGTCTTAACACATAGTCACTGAGTGCAGTCTGACTGACCTGCTTGACAGCGATGCTGACTCTGACAGAGTTGATGGAGCCCTCAATCAGAACTTTCTCCTTGTCATTACGGCTGATGATCACAGGTTGGAGGAGCAACTCTTTACTACTCCTAAAGTGTAAGAAACACACATAATTAATTTTATGTCCACATTAAAAGGGGTGAAACTCAGGTTTCATACACTGCACGGTCTTAAATCGATCCAAAGTCACACTCAAAGTTGGGGTGACAAACTCACCGTACTTCCACTTCTGGCTTGTTGTGTCTCTCCACCACTTGTGAGGAGAAATTCTCCAGGCAGAGGGCGGCCTGCAGGGTAGCACGCACTGCATTGAGATATGGGCGTAAGGTTGCCGTCTGAGGAAGGAGAGTGAGAGAGTGAAGATGATTATCATTCCTAAAGAAGAATGCCTGACTCTACAGGCAGACTGACTTACGAGAAGTCCTGTGGAACAAGTTTCATATATACCCTCTTCCTTCCTGAGCCTGCAGAAAGCTACATTTTGAAAGATTTATAATAAATGTAAGAAGAATTTATGTCACAAATAAGGAGTGAAAATTTGCAAAACATCACAAAAATGTTGACAAATATTAATTATATAATATAAATATTAAAGTCATCTGTTTTCACACTTTGCCTGCCTCCAGAGTCCCAAACGTACATAATCAAATGATTAAAAAGTTGGTTTAGCATATGTCCCCTTTAAAATAATTCCACATAATAATAATAATAATAAAATAATAAAATAGTGGTCCTATGCCCTGGTTTAAATGTGTAATCTGGCTCCAGGCAAAACTAAGTAATAACGCATTCAAATGTGTAGATGTTTAAGATACAAATGAGCATATATTTATAATTAGACTTATGCAAATATAAAATATAAAATGCAGCACTTAGTCCATCTTTTTTTACAACTCTAAAATAACCAAATATACGTTTATGTTAAAAACGATAAAGAAAGTATATAAGACAATATATTGTTACAGTAATGTACAGATCAAGCTATACTCCAGAGGTATGTTTTTAAACTGATCCTCATATCTGACCTCACTGCAGCTCAGCAAACAAAAAGGCAATAAAAGTACTAATAGAATACCAATACAAACATAATACCATGCTTAAAGGCAGTTACAATTATAAAAGGTGATAACCAGTATAAACAAATTGACTGATTAAGCTGTGATATTTTTGAAATCTTGGCAGCTGCTACCAGCTAAAGAGTCAACCAGTCCAGCAGGTTGCTGGTGGTGAGAATAACAGGAAACACTGGCAGATAAACAAGTGTTCATTAAACAATAAGATAATTTAAAGCTGAGGGACACAGCAGCGCCAGAGGGTTCAATACAACATCCTCGGGTGTATCAACATCAGTCCAGCTGGTTCAACAGATGTGTCCATCATTGCAGTTCGTGTTTTATGTTACTTAGCAACAAAGTATTACCACTGTTTGTTTGTTTTTTTTAACTTTACCAACGGCCAACATTCCACGTCACAATTAACTAGAACGTTCCATCGGCTGTACGCGCTGTGACGAAGCAGGATTCTATTCTATGTCGAATATTTTCTCTTTTAGCTAGCAACCCTTCCTGCTAACGTTAGCCTGCTAGCTAACTGCCTGCTTAGCTGGCCCAAATAACACTAGAGGAAAAACCACGAGCTGTCCCTCTCCGTACGGATGTTTAGTCGAAGAGCGGTAACGACTTAACAAAGTCT